TGATATAAAGAGACATCAACCTAGGAAGTTAAGGATACAAAAAGCGCAAATTCGAGATTATGCTTTCCGCGTCCTTTAATCCAATATAGTACTATCAAAAGTAACTATTAATGCGTCTTCTCGACAAAAACGCGCTCTTGCTCTTCAGAGACTTTATTTTTTCAAAAGAAGTTTAAATCTAACATTCATTCCTTGAACTAATTTATTATTTGACTGTGTTCCTTGTATTCTGTAAGCAGAAAGTCTGAGTCATCTACATTTATATCCTTGACATACGATGACTCCAGAAATATGCTCTAACCTCAATTCTATGCTTTGAAAGCAACCGTATTAAGGTAAGTGTAAACGCTGAGGGTTAACCGCTTTTTTATATTCGCCTAATAGAAGATCTGAATTTCAACTTTATCTGTACAAATTTTCACTTTTAACAAGAATGACGCTGAAATTCTCCAATTTTTGGAGTTTTCTTTCGGAGCTAAGATTACCGTAAAAATTACCAGATAGTTATTCAATTACTAGCAAAGTTACCACAGTACTTAAGTTTACGGAAACCTGCGCTCCACTAGTTTTACCTCCTTTTCCTATATCTTTTCAAAGTTTGTCGTTAGAGGAAACGAACTACTTCTAGAAGTTGTGGCCAACTACACCTTTCAAAATAATCTCAAGAAGAAAAGCATCCAATCGCTTGTGCGAGCGGTTGAGAGCGAGATACGATGAGAAATGAACTCATCCAACCATCAATGAGCTTTTGCTGTTTACTCTCCAGAGTACTTACTTATGATAAGTCGTTCCTTCTTAGTTATCACTAGTATGATTGCGTAATCGAACGTCTTACACATCTAAAGTGATGCCTTGATCCTTTACTCTGAACTGCCACAGCCTCTTCGAAGGTTTCTGCCAGGCTGCTTTTAACGATGCTTAATGCATTACCGAGCATTGAACATTATTGTTCTCAAATCAAAGTTGGAAAGCACAGTCAACGCCTTGCCATTTTCCTTATTTCGTTTATTACTATTTTTAGTTCCACCAATACTGCTTAAGCAAGCGTTAACAATTACAGAACCTTCAAAAATGCTACTGGACCTAGTCCGAAAGTTTTTCTATAATTCTATCATTTTTAAACGAAATGCAAATCATGCAGTTTTCTAAACTCAAAGTGTGTGTGCTTCTAAGGGGCCTCAGAAATACAACTTCAGCGTTTATAATTTCAGCAGGGGAGAAGATGGATTAGCCTTTGAGTGTTTTTCAAACTGGGGTTTGATGATAAGGCATTAGTGTCTCAGACAACTTGCCTCTTTACGCTCTATTACGATAAACCTTTAAACAGTGATGGAAAGTATTCGAAAAAGCGCTTCCATTCCTTCACCATGGACTATTTTTTTCCGCAGAAGAGACTGCGGCTCCGTACTTCCTTTTTAAGGCTATTCTAGCAAAATGCGCTCAAACTGTCACTCCCATTATCAGAATTTGGCTTTCAATCCTTGGTCATATAGAGTTGACAAAGAGGCCGTTGATCTTCCTCGAAAAGCGCTAACGCCATGTTTGCGCAGTTGTTCACAACTCTGTTCTCTATCCCCTCATGTGTCGGCACCTGTGGAGGTCCCTATTGGCCCTACTGTTAGTTATCAACGGTGAGTGTTGATGTTTACCCATCTGAAGATAAATCTACAAGCTATAATTCCTTAAATTACAGTTTGGAGAAAGATGACGCAAAAGAAACAGCTATAAAATCAAAATCGCCAATGCCAATTTTAGAATGCTATGGAAGCTGTGCTAATAACAGAAAGGATGGTCCGTACTGCGACAAATTGCTTCGACAAATTCTGAAGACCATACCTATCCCCACAAAATGCGTTAATTGGGTAGCGTTCTTGGATGCAAGATATTTTGCGGTATGTTCCGCTGTTTTTTTTCTGCTAAACAACTCTTCATTCAAATTGACTTATCTTCAATTCAGTCTGAATTGTCTTTGCCGGTGAACAAACGATCAATGGTCAGAGATTACTGTCCAGTAAGTTGCAATTATTGTGGAACATTGGCTCCCATGTCCTCCACTAGCAAGGTGAGTTTTGATTTAATTGTTTCTGCTGGATAGGAGAATTACATTTGTTTGGAAATTTTAGTAGGATTATTGTAGCAGGGAAGAGGTTTTTTCCGAATAGGGTATCGAACACCTACAAGTACATCTGCTTCCTTGAAAGTAAGGTTATTGGTAAATGTTAAACAAACGTACACGGCGAAAAACTATTGTAATAAAATGTGTGACATGCTGATTAGGAAAGTCACTCAGTTTGATGTAGAAGACAACTGCGAGAGAATGAAAAGAAGTTGAAGAAAATTTTTTTGCAGCATTAATATTAGTAATCGGTATTATCGAACCAATGAAAAAACTTCGCTAAACAAAGCTTACATACAAGTATCAGTAAATGGTAAAAAGTCCTAACCAATGGACTGCATCGATCACTCTATCTTCTCCTAACTTCCCTTGCCAAGGATTGCATTTCTTCACAAAAACCGAGCTGTATCCTCATAGATAATAGGGGTACCGGTTAATTCGTGCGGTTTTTTTTTTTTCGAAAATTGAAGCTTTATTATGAAAAAATGGTTACAAATTTAATATTCAAATTATTGTCCATCGCTAGCTTTAACCTTTTCCCATCTTTCTGGCAATTTACGAATACCCTTTCTGAAAAATTCGGCCGGCTTCTCCGCTATCCACGAATCGATCCACTTTTTGACTTCTTCATATTTGGAGAAGTGCTGGTCA